ATTGAGTCTATGGCTTTGTTCATGCACAAATGAATCATTATTGAGTGTAACTTTCAGCGATAATTTCTTTGTCATTTACCATATTATGACTATCCCTTTAAATAGATAGCCCACTATGAGATGGGAGCATTTTTCCATCGCTAGTTAAGGAAAAACAATTATTCTTCAGTTGTTCTTCATGCCTCTGGACAGCTGTAAATGAACCAAGGACAAATCTGAGATGGCTGAAAAGTGAAACAATTAAAGGAAATCCCAGTCTAAATCAGAGCCTTCAGATGGAAAGAGTAGAATAAATTACTGCACATACTCAAACTGTAGTGTGTCTCACTCTTTCCTTTCAGTGAGCTTTATAGGCTCTTGAATGGCAAACAAAGGATTTCAACTTCTCTCAAAAGAGTTCAACATAAATACATACAGTGCATTAAACCCTGAAAGGTGCTAATAAAATGGGGCCTAGTTTTCAAAAAACAGTTAATATCTCAGGGCAGATGTACATTGCTAACTTATAAATGGAGATAATGTCAATTTCTGCTTCTAATTACTCTGGTGTGAATCAGAGTAACTCCTCTGACTTTGCTGACAATGTGTAAGCACAAAATTTAGTTCCCTTTTATTGAGGGGTGGATGATTTAATTCATTTCAGTGGAGTTATGTCCACATCTACCAGCAATGAATTTGACAACTTGTTGTCCACTTATCCACCATCTCGTGTCTGCCTGAAGTCAGTGGGCCAGATTTAACCCATCCTTACTCAAGGTTAGTAGTATTTTAGTAGTCTTGTTTACAATAATACCATTTGCAGAGTAAGGTAGTTCTCAATATGAGAGAGTATGGCAGAATTTGCCCATTGAAGGAATGCAGCAACATTTCTAAAAACCTATAATCAGGACATTTAAAACTTTCACCACTGTCATATTTTTAGTAGTGTTTAACATATAGAGATAAAATAGGAATTGCCATACTGGTCAAATTAATGGTCTAAATAGTCTGGTATTCTATATGACTGTGGCCAATACATGATGCTTCAGAGGAAGGTGAAAGAACTCCAATGATGGAATAACCTGCCCATAGAGAAACTTTCTTCCTAGCCATCATCTATTAGTGCTTAATTTACATCATGAAGCATGAAGGTTTATATTCTACAGTGGATGTTTGCATTATCCATATAGATGTCCAGTTCTTTCTGAATTTTGCTAAGCTCTATTTCTGAATGATACTTAGGCCTGGTCCCCACTAAGCCCCCTCTTCGGACTAAGGTACGCAAATTCAGCTACGTTAATAACGTAGCTGAATTCGAAGTACCTTAGTCCGAACTTACCGCGGGTCCAGATGCGGCAGGAAGGCTCCCCCGTCGATGCCGCGTACTCCTCTCGGCGAGCTGGAGTACCGGCGTCGACGGCGAGCACTTCCAGGATCGATCCGGGATCGATTTATCGCGTCTTAACCCAGACGCGATAAATCGATCCCAGAACATCGATTGCCTGCCGCCGGACCCTCCGGTAAGTGAAGACGTACCCTTAGTAATAATAATTCCCATAGACTAATTATCCATTGTGTAAAAAAGATTTACTTCTATGATTTTAAAATGTGCTACATTACAATCTCATTGAATATCCTTTTGCTCTTATATTATGAAAGGGTAAGGCAGAACAGTGACCATATGACTCTCTATACCATTCACTAGTATATCTTTATCATGTGCCCTCTTATTTGTCTCCTCTCTAAAATAAACAGTCCTAATCTTTTCAAAGAAATGGATTTCATACTTCTAATCTGTTTCATCACCCATCTCTGTTACCTTTCTATTTATTAATGATTGGAAACTGGATAATTACTATAGTAGAGTCATTCATTTTGGCAACATGGTGTGAAAGGCATCACTATAATGTTATTTCAACTAGATCTGCAGAACATTTCCAAAACCAGCAAATTTTCTTATGTTCTTTATATTGACCTTGATTGCCCTTCTGTTTACTCATCTCTGTATGTTTAACATCTCTGAAAAACAGCCTCTTTTGATTAGGAGCCTAGACATGGATGTAGGCACCAGGTCTGAAAGTTCTGGCCACTGTATTTTATGATCTCTTTTCAACATACTCCAAAAGGGATGTTTTAGATCTTAGACTTGTTTAGGAGAGAGAAGACTTCTTCCCTATTAATGATTTTCAAAATAATTCATACTTCTGAAAGTCATGCCTGTTTCACTTAGGTGTCTAATACTTGGCCCCAGGTTTGAAAATTTTAGTCATTGTGGTTTCACTAGCAAGTCATGTTCCTTTCTTTAATACATTTTAGCTTTGTGTAACATCAGAGCTTAGAATCAGTAATATTGGTCCAGAACCAAATCCTCAAATCTAAATATGCCTGAACTTTTTGGAATTCAAAGCCAGACATGGATGATGTAACTGATCCCATTGTTTATGAAAGTCTGAACTACACCCCACAAAAACTCTGGAAGAGAAAAGAGGTTTGAAATCTGCACCAGAATTTTATAGATCAGGCTTATCACTAATTTGCAGGTGCATTTAAGAAGTAAGAGCTTTTGCGCTAGGACCTGCAATATTTTCACAAGAATACACGGTCATCTGTATTCTACTGCTCCTTCTACATTTTCACTGAAATATAGCATATAACAATGTACATACCATTAAGTCTCTTGGTTATATTTTTGGGGCATAAAGGGTATATTATTATTACTATTTATTAGGGCTGTCAAGTGATTGAAAAAATTAATCACGATTAATCGCACTGTTAAACAATAATAGAATACCATTTATTTAAATATTTTTGGATGTTTTCTACATTTTCAAATATATTTATTTCAATTAAAACACAGAATACAAAGTGTACAGTGCTCACTTCATATTTATTTTTGATTACAAGTACTTCTACTGTAAAAAACCCTAAAAGAAATAATATTTTTTACATTCACCTAATATAAGTACTATAGTTCAATCTCTTTATAATGAAAGTTGGACTTACAAATGTACAATTATGTACAAAAAACTTTCATTCAAAAATAAAACTATGTAAAATTTTAGAGCCTGCAAATCCACTCAGTCCTACTTCTTGTTCACCCAATTGCTCACACAAACAAGTTTGTTTACATTTGCAGGAGATAATGCTGTCCGCTTCTTGTTTACAATGTCACCTGAAAGTAGTGTGACCAGATAGCAAGTGCAAAAAATCGGGACGGGGGTTGGGAGGTAATAGGTGCCTATATAAGAAAAAGCCTCCAAAATCGGGACTGTCCCTATAAAATTGGGACATCTGGTCACCCTACCTGAAAGTGATAGGCATTTGCATGGCACTGTTGTAGCCAGCGTCGCAAGATTTCCAGGGGACATGCGTCCATGCTGATGACGGGTTCTGCTCGATAACAATCCAAAGCAGTGTGGACCAATGCATGTTCATTTTCATTATCTGAGTCAGATGCCACCATCAGAAGGTTGATTTTCTTTTTTGGTGGTTCGGGTTCTGTAGTTTCTGCATCGGAATGTTGCTGTTTTAAGACTTTGAAAGCATGCTCTGCATCTCATCCCTCTCAGATTTTGGAAGGCACTTCAGATTCTTAAACCTGGCATCGACTGGTGTAGCTATCTTTAGAAATCTCACATTGGTACCGTCTTTGCATTTTGTGAAATCTGCAGTGAAACTGTTCTTAAAATGAACATGTGCTGGGTCATCATCCAAGGCTGCTATAACATGGCAGAATGTGGGTAAAACAGAGCAGGAGACATACTATTCTCCCCTCAGGAGTTCAGTCACAAATGTAATTAATTAATGCATTTTTTTTAACGAGCGTCATCAGCATGGAAGCATGTCCTCTAGAATGGTGACTGAAGGCTGAAGGGGCATATGAATGTTTAGCATATCTGACACATAGCATATCTGGCCAGCTACAAAAGTGCCATGCAAATGCCTGTTCTCACTTTCTGTTGATATTGTAAATAAGAAGAGGGCAGCAGTATCTCTTATAAATGTAAACAAACTTCTTTGTCTTAGCGATTGGCTGAACAAGAAGTAGGACTGAGTGGACTTGTAGGTGCTGAAGTTTTATTTTTGAATGAAGGTTTTTTGTACATAAGTCTATATTTGTAAGTTCAACTTTCATTATAAAGAGATTGTACTTGAATTAGATGAATTGAAAAATACTATTTCTTTTGTTTATCATTTTTACAGTGCAAATATTTGTAATAAAAATAATATACAGTTTGATTTCAATTACAACACAATATATATATAAAAATGTAGAAAAACATCCAAAATATTTAATATATTTCAGTTGGTACATTCTATTGTGTAACAGTGCGATTAAAACTGATTAATTGCGATTAATTTTTTTAATCACGATCATTTTTTGATTGTGTGAGTTAACTGTGATTAATCACCAGCCCTACTATTTATTACTTCTTTTGCAGTGGTAGGTACAAACTCCAAGCAGGGATTAGGGCCTCACAGAACTAGGCAGCGTTCAAAACACAAAAATAGATTGTTTTCTGGCACATGGGCTCTTTCCTCCCCGCATACATCCTTAGATTAACAGAGGAACTGTGAAATATAGTAATTAAAAAAAATATTCATATGAGTGGTCAGACTGTCAGGCCTAAGCTTTTGTGCTAGTTGAGGAATAATGGAGGGTAACAAATAAAAACATACTCTCATGAGACACTTAAAGAAAGGATATTTAATAAGACACCAATCCTGCCTTCCTGGTATATCCAAAATTCCCCACTGAAGCCAATAGGTGTTTTGGAATGCTTAAAGCAGGCAGGATGAGGGGAATTGCTGTGGGGCAGAGGAAGGAACCCTCATCTCTCTCAGATGACTTTGGATGCAGTGGCAAGCTTCAGAAAAGGAGGAGATTTGGTATTGTTTTAAGTCAATTCACTCCTTAGCTGAGGAAATGACGAGAAGGAAATTGTCCCGTCTCAGGAACCATGTGGCACTCCAAGATAAGCCAAACAGTTGCTAATTTGAGTCTAAAAGCAGGAAATGTGATACTTTTTATTTCCTTTTATGCAAGCAAAACAATGTGACTGGCTGCATGAACGCATTTCTTCTCCTGCTGAATCGCAGACATATCAAAATCTAGTGCTTCATCGTGGACATACCAGTTTCGCATTTATTATTTTGGTTGTTATGGATAAAAACAGTACTCATTCGGATAGTTCATGGCCGCCAAACTTTTGGGGTAAGATTTTTTTTTAACTAGAGTATTATTAGTAGGAATTAGAACACCAATTACTTTGTAAAATGTCATGTTATCTCTGGGGCAGATTTCTAGAATTATTACCACTGAAACAATTAATGGATTACTTATTTTTGTGGTGCAAATATTTTCCAAATGCTCCTTAATGAAGTGTCAGGATAGTTTCTTAATGAATACAAACAGTTGAGATCTAGCAAGTGGGTTTTTGGGCCAGCTCTCACCCATGGTTTGATCCAAAGTCCATTATTGAAGTCAATGAGAGTTTGTCAATTGATTTCAATGGTTTGTTAAGCACCTAATCTCAGTAATTTAATGAAACTGCTCACATAAGGAAAGCAAGCAGGATTTGGCCCATTTTCAGATGAAAGGGATGTAGCAAAGACTTAAGGAAGTGCAATCTTTGGAATAATCGGTTTGTCTTTCCAACCTGTGAAAGGTTTTGAATAAGCTGAGAGCCTCACAAAATCAACTCATCTTCACTGTCTCTCAGAATCTGACCTGTTCTTTGTCCATTAACTCTAATGTGCTATCGTTAAAAACTGGGAAGGGTTCCTTAACCAAAATATATTGGGTATGAGACAGGGGTATTAGTAATACCAAAATTGAGTAGGTAGATTCACCAAAAAAAACAAAAACAAACAAAAAAAAACCCAGCAGCAACCATGGAGATCTCTTCACTCCAAAAAGTCCTAAAACTTGCCCTGCTTTGCATTACATAAGTCACATATTGTATATTTGCCTATTTTATTCTTACCATCCCTTGTGATCTTTTCAGGAGATCTTGCAATATGTAAATCTACAAAATAATATACATTAAAAACAACAGAGGCCTCCTTTATTATGAGGATGCATTGGGAGTAAAGTGAGAGATAAGCTTATGGGACACTTTTGAGGGAGTTCCTTTGTGTCACGTTGTGTGAGTAACAGACCTTTGAGTGCCAGTCTCTGATTCCTGTATTGATACGTGCATTTCATAGGATGTGCTCTCCTTGTTTTGGGTACTGTCCTCTGGTATCTGAAGCAAAGATGACTGCCAATTTTTAAGAGTGAAACTGCATATTTTTGTAAAGTAGCTATTTCAGAACAGGAGTGAAAGAGTGCTTTCATATAGCCGATACTTTGAGAATCCTTGAGTAGGAGGCACTACCTACTGCAAACCGCAGATTTTATTCCATTCTGAGCCAAGTATCCAGAGGGCTTTATTTTCTCTCTAATGGAAAAATCCATCAAAAGGACAAAGTTGCATGAGACATTGTGATTCACAATCCAGAGTTTCTAACTCAACAGGTTCTGTGGTTTTCCAGCCAGAGGAGTCTGTGGACAAGGTCCTTCATCTGCACTGAGGGCTGGGCATCTGCTCTACCCCTTGGGACTAGGGCTGGCACTATGGCCCCCTTAGTAGTTGTATTGCCATTACTTTTCTGCTCACTTTTGGTGCCTCCCAGGGCTTGCCAAACCCCTAATTCTTCCATGCTCATGGCTGACTGTACAGAGTAGCACCTGCACAAGTTGCTATAATGCTGAGAGAGTCAGCGTTAACTTCCATAAAAATGTTCTTGTGTTGGTGCCAAGGAATTGATATTGCACAGCACCACAAATCCCTCCACTTGGTGGCACCCACACAGTAGATCAACTTCTCAGTGAACCATCCAGTGTTCCTGTGGAAGGACTTCCATGATTACAGAGAGAAGATAGAGATGCCTCTGGCTCAATGCTTCTCTCCCAAATAGTTCTGGGACATAGCAGTGGGATTGGCACTTCTTTCTTTCCCACCATATCATGTGGGAATGGGTGGAATAGGAAAGGAGATCAAATGGCACTGATTTTCAGGAGATGTCATCAGTTAAAATGAGGATATAGCATAGCTGCTTTCAACAAAGTCTGACTTTAAGAATACATTTTACACTCTTTTTTTAAAGAAGCATATAGTATTGTGAGCACTAACAAATTACTTAGACCAAATCCTGCAGTAGTTTACACACAGTCTTAAATTTACTCTTGAGAGTCATCCAGTTGGTTTCAATGGGATAATAAATGTATAGACTTAAGTGTGGGTGTAATTGTTTGCTGATCAGGGACTTACTAGAGGTGGACACAATTAAATACTGTAAAAACTGTTAGAACAATTCACCATCATTATTAATCTATTGTCCAGTAGCTGGTATCATACTCTGGAATTATCTACAGGAATCCTGTTTTCTGGAACTCTTGAAGTTTCCACTGTTAACTTGAGACTATAGCTCTTTTAGAAGTGATTTTAAGAATTTTAAAACAATGAACAAAAGTCAAGTCTCCACTGTGAGACTTATTGTTTGTTTATATTTGAGCACACATTATTCTTTCCCAAACCAGTCCATGCCACAGTATATTATTAAAGGCCCACATGTAATGGGGTTTACTCGCCACTAGGGTGCCTCCTCCTGGCTATTCAGGGAATTAGCTCCATCTTGATCTGATGCCCCTTTCTGTCATTTGCTCTCACTGCAGCTCTTTTTGGTCTCTGGGACTCTCTCTTCATGACTTGGCCCTCCAGGCAGATCACTATCGGTGTTTCCCCTTTAAGGTATTAAGTCCCACTAGATCAGCTAGCTTCATGCCGCTCCAGACAGTTTTCCAATCCAAGGCTAGGTCCTAGGCCTCTTTCTCAGTGGCTGCAAGGGAAACTCAGGCCAACCCCATACTCCGGGTTCCAGTCCAGGGACCCTATGTCTAGCAACTATGGTCTGCTTGCTCCCAGGACTCCTTTCTACCTCTCTGCTCTATTTCCCCCCCCAGTTTTCCAGCCTAAACACTCTTCTTCCAGGAAGCAAGTGTACTATTTAACTGTATAGCCCCAAACATCCTCCCTTCTCCCAGGAACTAACTACAGACTACTTCCCCTACAGACCCCTTCTGGTCTCAGCTTGCTGGCTTTGTACAGGCCCAGCCTATATCTGCTCAGCTGAGCTTCATCTTCTGTTAGGGTTTGCCTGTCCAGCCTAATTCTTCCCCAGGTGCAGCCTCTTAGCTTAATTAGCCAGTTGCCTTCTCCCCTTCAGGTGAGGTGAGGAGTGAGCACCCCATCACACCAGCTAAGCAAATGTGTAGATATATATGATAGGAGCAGAATATATGCACAGCTTGGTTTGAGTCATGTTATGTGAATTGTGTTAGTGGTCTCAGCCCACTTCCTATTAGACAGCTGTCCACATCATAAAAAAACACCTTGAGAAATGACTCCCCAAACGCAACATACAGCACAAATACATGAATAAACAGTAAACAGAATAATTTTGTGGGAATAAAAATCATGAGGTTTTTCTATTAGGTATAGAAAAATTGATTTTAACCTCCTTTCCCAGTGTACACTTCCATGAGTTTTGTAATAGATGTCATGGCCTTGTGACTGAACTTCTGTTTAATAGGGAAACCATAGCAAACATGTGATACCTTCTCTTTCTGTCACCTAGAGGTACTTAGCAAGGTTGCTGTAGCCTCTGGCAGCTCTGCTCCTTGCCTAGCCAATTAAAGAGATCTCAAGAGGTGCTTCCTGGTTGCAAGGAGGAATTTTTTTTCCACTTGGAAAGCAAGCATATGCCTGTCTCAGACAACTTGGCTGGACTAATCTGGCAAGGAAGAAACCTCCCCCTGTAGCCACTTACCTCTTTTTGGATCCCATCTGTTTATGGAATCATAGAATCATAGGGTTAGAAGGGACCGAAAGGGTCATGTAGTCTACCCCCTGCCAAGATGTTTTGTTGCCAATATACTCTCTCTGGGGGGAAATGGGCATTAGGTGTGAAGATGCAGTAGTACTAGTTTGTGTAAACGAGGATCAGACTGCCGTCTCATCAGAATGGTGGCTACGGGCTCATAGATCTCACTGAAATACTACTGATGGAGAGAAGTGCTGGCATGAAATGTTGTAGGATAATCTAATGTATCTGTGCATTTCTTGTGTACTCACTAAATATGGCATCTTGGGAACAGGGTCTGGGGCATCTTCCTCCAGAATTCTTTTAGAAACTCACTCTGAAAGTGAATAGTTGTGTGTCTCCCATTCCCCACTTTCTGAGTGAGTCTCCCACTCTTCCTACTGTGTCTATCACTTCTCTTTTCATTGTCACTTCCTTTTAGGCACACTTTCACTTCCCCCATGCTCCTTCTACACTCTTTGCAGTCCTCCAATTTACCCTTAGCAGTACAGCATAACAGTTCCAACAACTGCTGTAACAGTCTATATCCCTATGTCCACCCTTTTTACAAGACTATGATGGATTTTGTACAAAGTATGCCTTGTGAGGTATCATTTGAAAACTCATAATATGCGGATCATTACTGTCCTAGTAAAATATGTGTGGCAACATATTATGTAAAGTTATAAGATTCTACTGTATGGCTTGACTAAGACAGGCTCCAAGTTTAGAAAAGCAGGCATAAACCAGTTCCTCAGAGACAAAAGGCAAATTGATGCCTCAGCCAGGTGTCAACAATCAAATGGACTATCACCTGGGTAAGCAGCCATTCTTTGGCAGGAAGAAGGGTGTGAGCAATAATTTTACATCTTGGCAATGGAACAGATGGAGGTTCCTGTGCAAACAGACTGGCTGTCGCCTGAACCCCAGCTGGAGATGATTCACAAAGGACAGAATTGTTATAAAAAAGGGGAGCAAACTCCCCTGATTACCTCTTTCCCCTCCTCTCTACTCATGGCATCAACAATATTTGAAAGACGGAAGAAGCCTTATAGAACTTGGGGAAGGGTCCTGGCTGAAAGGATTCCAGACAGACTGCTGTAAAGAGCCTTTGCTTTTAATTCACTTTAGCTTGTTCACTTAGCTATTAATTGTATTTTATCTTTAATTTTCTTAAAACCAAATTCTGACTTTTATGCATCATTACTTGTAATTTCTTAAAATCTTTCTGTAGTTAATAAACTTGTTTCATTGTTTTATCTAAGTCAGTGTGTTTGGATTGAAGTGTTTGGGAAACTCCACTTGAGT